GAGGACTCGCGATGTACGAACACACCGATTAAATAATCTGGCGCGATTCGCCCGAGCGAGTGTGAAACGTTTTCTCGGGAGCATCGTCGATGCGGTAACGTTGCGATAGCACGCGTTGCGCGTGTGTGTACACCCGATCCCTCCGATATCGTTTTACGAACTACCACGCGTATCGGAATCGAATTCATCGAGCCACACGCAATTCGCGAAACTTGTAAACCTCCTGGCAGAATTGCCGCAGCTCGTTAACAAACACGGACGGATTTTACGTTGGTTTCTTTGCTTCGAGCGTTCAATGAAGAAGCTCGCGTTACACGAGCGAGCTAATTGACTTCGTTGATAACGATCGTTTGCTTTTACGAGAGAGGTTAAACGTTATTTATGAATATATTCTGGCAGTCGACTGGAGAATGTTTTAGAAAGCGATGTTAATCAGCTGGGCGACAGCTTCAATGGCGACGAGTGATTTGTATACGTCAGCGATAAAAGTGAAACGATAACTGTGTAACTGTGTACGAGATAGAAAGAGAGAGTAATGCAATACATAACAGAAGAGAAGGAACGTTTCGATTGAAACGGTTATGGAGATTTCGGGGGATCGAGTCGTTGACGTTCCGACGATGAAAGATACCTGATGAAAAGAAAGGCATTTGAGGGGCTAGGCTTCCTTCCGATGAATCGAAATCCATCGCAACTCTCTTGATACTTTCATTTAACGATCTTCGGGCCCGGGCTCCATTTACGAACTGGATGCATCGAGACGTAGCCGCACTCTTTTGAGCTGCACTGTCACCATCGCACGTGCAGTATACCTGCATCTAGGATCCCGCAATCTGCGGACGATGCTTCCCTCCATCCCCACCGCTTCTCCTGGTTACGTCACTGACCTCCAGTTAGGTGAGGTCGGGAACAATGCAGCAGAGTTCAGGTCACGACGGAACGTAACGACTCGTCTTGCTTTTCGATTCCAATCTTTCTCACTTCTTCGATCGGGATTTTACCATTTTCGCGCGACTTTCGGCCGACTTGCCGGTCGAGAGGAAGAACAATGTCGATGTTTGCGTCTCTCGATAGGAAAACTAGAAACTAGAGTCCACGTTCTCGCTATATTTTTTACAGACACTTTGCTTAGGCATAGTACGCGGTTTCGTTCAATCGGGAATGAAAGTTTCGATCTCTATGAAAAAAGGGGAACGTATAGACTACTGGTCTGCTGGAACAAAAGGTATTTGCCAGTTTCTTGTGCCATTAATGCGTATGCAGCGATATCGAGCTCCGATGATCGTCACCGCTGCACCGTGGTAGATACGTTAATTTTAAGCGGATCTCGGCAGTTGGTTATTGCAATTAATACGATCGTTCCTGTTTGTATATTTCACTGCACGAACCACCACCGCTCACTCGGGAGCTCTTGGGAGCTTTCGTGTGTGTGTGTGTGTGTGTGTGTGTGTGTATGTGCGCGCGTGTGTGTCAGCACACACGCCGGATATGAAAATGTGTGTTCACTGACCCTGTGGACTTACGACCCGTTTTCTGATATTGTTTCAGATCGCTCCCTCGGCAAAAAAGCTTTGGGGCGTGGACGAGGGTGGCTCCAAGGACGAAGGGGGTGTAAAAGGCGGTGGGATACTTCACCTGGGCGACCACCAGATGTGGCGAGATTCCACTTGGAGCACCTCAGGTACGATTGCTGCTGATCCGCTGCAAATCCGATAACGGATTGTACGCATCTGTTTTTGTACCCTACGTGTTTCGTAATTATGCGCCGGGTCTTGTTATTTTCAATGAAACGCACGCGGAAATCGTCGGCTCGCTCATTGACTAACCGCACAGAGTACACACTATCGGCTCGTGCTATCGAGCGTACTGACACATATCAATGACAATAGGGCTGAGAATATTTGGAATAGAGTTTCGAGATGGGGATAATCCATGAACGGGGTTAATCGGAATCGATAATTCACGGCTGGCAGGCATTAACGTGCCCCGACCACTTTGTAGGCCCGTCGCTTATCTGCTTTCTACATGCCTTTCGAAGAGAGAGAAAAAAAAAAAAAAAAAAAAAAACACGACGACCCTTTGTCGCGTTCGTTAATTGTTGCCCATTAATGCCCCCGAGTATCTGCGGCTTTCGTTCACTTTCGGAGTTTGAATGGTAACCTAGCCCGACTTAGCCTGCGCTGTACACAAAGACAGATTTTAATCTCGGCCTCGCGTTTCCGGCGTTTCCGGCGTTCGTCGAAGCCCTTTAAATCCCTCGAAATATCCATCCTGCGCCCTCCCCACCCCGGCCGCTCGTTTTCCCTTAGACGCCAATGCACACGAGCGTGCGAATTCTGATCGATATGGATTCGGTCGACTCGGTACTTGCGGTTAATCGTTACATAATCCTAAGGGTAATAAGTCGGTTGCGCGTGCTAATTTCTTCTCTAAAAAGAAAGCCGCGCGTCTAAAAAGAAAGGAACGAGATCGCGTTGCGTGAGTCAGCCAACCGATGGATCACGGTGCGCTGCGTTTGATGCCTGTTTGAGAAATATTTATCGCGGTAAATGCAATATTTGCTATGATTTGTAGAACATTCGTACCTTTTCTTTTCTTTCTTCTTTTTTCTTTCGATCGTGCAATGCGCGGATCTCTCGGTCCTTTATGCCCAACGATCGTTTCCTCGCGAGTATGTATATCGATAGCAGTTCAGAAGATATCGAGCTTATTAGTCCAGGTATTCGAGCATTGGCTTCTCTCTAACCGTAGTTAATAAGAGCAACGGCACCGTTCCACTGGCTTCTTTAGTATTAGCATCTTTGCTAATACTATAGAGTAATTTGTTCGGTATAAAGAAACAGCCGTGAGAGACGCTTTTTCCAACTCTGTTTTTAACCGGAAATGAACGTAAAATCTTTTTTTTCTTTTTTTTTTTTTTTTTTTTTTTTAATTTAGGAATGGCAAGGGCCACGGCGTTATCCAAATAACGAGGTAACGATCAATGCGCGACGAGTCTCTACGATCGTTGAAGGACCTCGCCGATTGACGTAGAACGAACAGCTCGAACGTTCGACACACACACGGTAAAATTCGTGAGAAGGATGAATCATGTAAAAAAAGTCAAAGTTGGACGGCGAACGTCAGAAACGTCGCGTCGTCCATGGTGCCCAGGTTACAAACAAGATCCGAGCGATACCGCGTGTTTTACGTCGTGCGCGATTATTGATTGGTACAGCACCGAAAGAACAATATATAGAGACGAGAAGTAGAAATACTTGTGTCTCCGTAGCTTTCGAGCGGAATGTCAATAATCGATACTCTTACCAAAACAGATCTCCCCCGACTGTTTGCTTTTACGAAAAACCAAAGGAAATCCACGGAAGTTCCCTGTTCTTCTCTCTCTCTCTCTCTCTCTCTCTCTCT